TGGTAGAGCGCTTCCCTAGCATGTGTGAGGCACTGGGTCCGATCCTTAGCACCACATAATAAATAAATAAATAAATAGTATTATGTCCATCTACAACTAAAAAAAATATTGAAAAAAACCCCACTGATACGTGATGGGGATACAAACACAAAAGTCATAGTGAGAGAACTGTTATGATAGCCAATTTGAGGCTATGTAGACAGTTAAGAAATTAGTGGTAGGGGCTGGGGTTGTGGCTCAGCGGTAGAGCGCTCGCCTAGCATGCACAGGGCCCTAGGTTGTATCATCGGCACCACATAAAACTAAATGTTTGGAATAAATGTATTGTGTTCAACTAAAACTAAAAAATATAAATATTTTTTTTTAAAAAAGAAAGAAATTAGTGGTAAAGCAGGGCACAGTGGGAGTGGGTGTGGTTTAGTGGTAGAGCCCTTGGCCTAGCACGCAGGATGTCCTGGATACGATCCCTCAGCAGCAACACACACAGAGAAGTGGCAGTTTGCTCATATCTAAAATGTACATGCCTTTTGACTAGAAAAAATGAAATGTAGAATTATGGTATAGTCATACAAAGGAATAGAATACAACTGTTAATAAAGTTTAGATGGTCCTAAATGTACTGATATTGACTGAGTTCTAAGAACTACTTGTGTTTTTTTTTTTTTTTTCTTTAAAGCAAGGCAGAGTAGTGTGTTTAGCATGCTGCTATTTGTAGGTTTGCTTTATTTGTTTGTGTGTGTTTGTGTGTGTGTGTGTGTGTGTCCGTGAATCTGGAAGGATAAAAAAAAAAGTTGTAACAGAGCAGTCTTGGTAGAGGGAAGGGGTGACTAGGTAACTTGGGGATCAGTAGCCTGGGGGCCACCCTGAATAGGAGGTGAGCACCCCACCCTTAGCCTTGAGTAACAGGGGTATGGAACTGGATCAAGTGGGCCTTACCTTGCTTTGCAAGGAAGTGCAGCTCTGCGATTGGGCGTCATCCAATGGGACTGGGCTACATCCCTTGTCCCCCCCCCACCCCATTTGTTGTAACACAATCCCTTGCCTTATTTGGGTGGAATGTCTTCCCCCTAATAAAAACAGGGTTCGGGGTACACTTGCTCTCTTGCTTCCCTTGCTCCTCTAGTTCTCCAGCATGGGAGCTGAACCATCCTTGACCCTCAAAAAAGGTATTTTGTGTTTGTGTGGTCTCTTCATTGCCAGCCCAATTCATGGGGAATGACCCTGAATCCATCGCCCATGTGGGACGTGACACAGTAGGATAAACTTAACCAGCTAATTATTATCATTATTATTTTTTGTGGTGCTGGGGATCAAACCCATGGCCTTGTGCCTGTAAGGTGAGCACTTTAGCAACTGAGCTAAATCCCCAGCCCCAATTATTATTATTATTGTGTGTGGTGCTGGGGTTGGAACGGAGGGCCTTGCACATGCGAGGTAAGTGCTTTAAAACTGAACTATGGGGCTGGGGACATGGCTTAAGTGGTAATGCGCTCGCCTGGGCCTGGCATGCACAGGGCGCTGAGTTCGATCCTCAGCACCACATAAAATAAAAAATAAAGATGTTGTGTCTGCCGAAAACTAAAAAATAAATATTAAAAAAATTCTCTCTCTTTAAAAGAAAAAAAAAAAAAAAGAACTATGCTCCCAACCCTAACTTCATTTTTATTATGTCTTTTGAATGTCATACTATGTCTATGTATTACTTATTTTAAGTAAGTAAAAATGTACAAAATAAATTTCAGTAATTGATTTTTGAGATCATCTTGTGTGAACTTACTGGAAAGACTCTAGTCCCGCCTTTCATCCCAGCCTCAACCTCTCTCCAGTCCTGTTCCAGTCACCCTTCATACTGCAGAGACTATTCTGAGACAGTTTTCATCACATGTCCTTTCTGCCCCAATTCTCCACAACCTTGGAGGAAAGGTCTAGTCTTCCTCCTGATCATCCAAACTTGACTTCAAGCTTTTTTTTTTTCCCCAGTACGGGGGATTAAATGCAAGGGCACTCTCCCACTCAGCCACATCCCCATCCCTTTTTATTTTTTATTTTGAGGCCTCAAACTTGCTATCCTCCTGGCTCAGCCTCCCGAATGGGATTACAGGCATGTGCCACTGTACCTGGTGCCTGGCCTCAATCTTATTTCCCTAAATTTGTCAGAAGATAGGTTTTGCAGCGTTCAAGAGCACAGGCTTTGAAATCAGACCTGGTTTCAAACCCTGCCTGTGACCATAGTGAACTATTTGATCCCTAAAAGCCTCAGTTTCCTCATTCATTAAATAAGCACAATAACAGAAACAACATACCAATGATTGGCACCTAATAAAAGTATTCAGTAAGCATCAGCTGTGATTATTATTATTATTATTTTGTACTGGGGATTAAACCCAGAGGTGTTTTATCACTGAGCTACATCCCCAGCCCCTCTTTTATTTTGAGGCAGGGTCTCACTAAGTTGCTTAGAGCCTTGCTAAGTTACTGAGGTTGTCTTTGAACTTGTGATCCTCCTAGCTCAGCTCCCCTGGCCATTAGAATTACAGGCATATTGCTACCACATCCAGAAACTGATTATTTTTTAAAAATTTGCTTTAGTCAGGTGTAGTGGCACATGCCTATAATCCCAGCAGCTTGGGTGGCTGAGACAGGAGGGTTGCAAGTTCAAAGCCAGTTTCATCAATTTAGGCCCTGAGCAATTGTATTAGAGCCTGTCTCAAAATAAAAAATAAAAGAGGATGGGGCATGTGGCTCATTTGCTAAGTGCCCCTTGGGTTTAATCCCCAGTACCCCCCCCCCAAAAAAAAGTAATTTGCTTTAATAATAACATTTTCATGCTTAACACAATTTGTAGTTTTTGTTTTGGCTTAGTTACTTGTTTATTGTCTCTTTCTACGTATATTGTAGGAGCTTTCATGAGGGAAGAGACCTTGTTTTATTTAAAAATACATACCACAGGGGCTGGTAGAGCACCTGTCTTGCACGTAAGAGGCACTGGGTTCAATCCTCAGCACCACATAAAAATCAGTAAATAAAGATATTGTGTCCATCTACAACTAAAAATATATATATCAAAAAAATACATGCCACATTGTCTGACACATTGTAGGTATTCACTAAATTTTTGTTTACTGCACGCCTTCTTGTAGTCAAATTCCCTGTTCATTTTTTTCCTTCAACAAATATTTAGTGAGTCCCTACTGTATGCTGGTCTCTATTAGATGTAGGTGATAAAGCAGTGAGCAAAACAGACAAAAATCCCTGCTATCTTTGAACTATGACAGGATGCATCGATCCTTCATTTGAACATGTTGTAACATGCTCTAGCTGTTCCAACCCTGACTGGGCATCAGTATCCCTGGGGAGCTTTAAAAAGTCTATGGCAGTGCTCTGCGACAGGCCCTGGAACCAGAATTTTAAAAATAGTGGTTCCAGTGCTATCGGGGAGAAGGATTCACAATTCTATGACTTTTTAAAAAACTTTTTTTTTGTTCTTTTGTTCTTTTTTGGTGGTGCTGGGAATTGAACCCAGGGCTTCGGGCATGCTAGGCAAGAGCTATCAGAGCTTAATTGTGCCTCGCTAAATTGCTGAGGCTGGTCCTGAACTTATGATCGTCTTGCCTCAGCTTCAGGAGTTGATTATATTATACACGTCTGCCATCGTGCCCAGTTTAGACTTGGGGCTTTAAATGACATGATTTAAATATCCTTTTTACCAGTTTTAATGAACAATTTTCCCTTTTGTGGTGATAGTTCCTAAATAAAAGCCAGAGTTTTTTGTTTTTGGTACATGATCTCGCTATGTTGCCCAGGTTGGTCTTGAACTCCTGGACTCAAGCGATTCTCTTGCCTTCTGAGTAGCTGGAACCACGGGAGTGTACCACCAGAATCTGCAGAACTTGGCTTCTGACCCAGACCTATGTTCCAAAGAATAGCCCAGGAGATCTGCTCTTATCCAGGGCTGTTGCAGGCAGGCAGCCCAAGGTTGCTCCTGTGATAGGCACAGAGCTCCGCATCTCTGGCATATCTTCAGACCACATGCTGCAGGAATAAGTTCCTCAAGGTTGTCACAGGAGCATCAGTTGCACCCTTGGAGGGGGACTTTGGTGGACCCCATCTCCTAGTGATAGTGAGCAGCAGTACAGGGGCCTGGGAATCAGATAGGTCTATTTGAATCTCGTCTCTTCCTGGCCCTGGCTTGCTTCTACTGCTAGGTGATGGCTCTGCACCTTACTTTTCTTATCCGAAAGGTGTAGGTAGTAACGACTCACACATGGTTGGTACAGTTTTGAGACGCTCTGCTTGCTCTGCTTGCCTCCAAAGGTTTCCCTCCCCCAGGTGACATCCAAGGGCACTTCCATGGGCCACAGCCCTCATAGGTTCCCACTGGGACCTCGGGGGCACAACTGAATTAATTTCCTGGTTAAACGTCATAGTTTCAAACCACTGGGAAAACCGCCCTGTTGCCCCAGGCAGCGCAGCGGATATAGGTCTGAGGCCAAATCTCGGGAAGCTTCGCTCCACTAGGTTGCCTTCAAACCTCCGGGAGAAAACCCTTCTCAACATGGCGCCGCCCTGTGGCCGCGCCGCGCCTTTCCGCCGCGTTGACGTGAGTGCGCGCGCGTCCTCCGCGCTGAGTCTCGACGCATGCGCGCTCCGTGCTGTCTTCTCCCGGCCAGAGCAGCAGTATCCGCGGCGGCGTTTGAGTGGAGGAAGATGGCGGCTCCGGGCGGCTCGGGGTCCCGCCAGCTGTGAGGATACCCGAGCACGGCCAGCGCGACCTGGGGCAGAGCGCCTCTGCTCTGGCCCTGTCCTCGGCTCCCTCCCCACAGTCGCCAGCGGAGAGAACCCGAGAGCGTGGAGCGGGTGGGCCAGGTGAGGCCTCTCCTCCCGAGCCGCGGCTGGCAGCCGGCGCCTCCTGCCCTTTATGCCCCGGGGGCAGTGGGCGCGGGGTCCATGCAGGCCCGGCATCCTGCGCCGGGGTCGGTCCTGGCCAATCTGGGCCTTGCTGTCGTCATCGTCGGTTCCCCTGGGTGAGGCGGGGAGAAGGAGAGCCCCTTTACAGCCAGCATTTCCCGTCCCTTTTCAGCGGGGCGGTTCTCGTCCCCCTCACTCGGTCCAGGAAGGGGTGTGTGGCCATGGCAAGGATGGTTTTAGGGGTGTCAAATAGGCTTTAACCCCGCCCCCCAGACCTTAACTCCCTGCGAGAGGAGCTGGAGGCTGGTGCTCTCCAAAATTGGGTCCGCGGCGAGGGGCCCGCATCTCGAAAGCTGCAGCTGCAAAGGGATGATTTTGGGATTGGCTTGCAAAATAAAACAGCAGCAGCCTTTCCTCACCCCTCGATATATGAATGTTGCCTTGGAGAAGTGGGAACAGCGGATCTCCTTGCTTGAGACTGCAGTCCACGTTGTGACTGAGGACGCCTTTTCTTGGTGAGAATTGTTTGTGCAATGGGAACGGTTGAGGGTGGGAACGATTTGTAAATGAAGAAAACACAATTGTAAGATCTCGGTAGTCTGCAGAATAACTTCAGCGCTCAGGGAGTTCGTTTGAAACCTTTGGATTGTTAAGCCAGAATAACCATTTGCTTTGTCTGTTGGATCTCCCCACTTTTATTAGGAAAATAAAAGCTTCATTTCTTCGTTGCCGAAGTCTTTGGACTTTTCTGTGGTGGGCTTCCCACCGAGCTAGATGAAGATCCAGACACATTACCAGTTCTTACTTGCTGGCAGCGACATTGTGCTGTGCTGGTTAATTCCTTTTTGAGAATAACTTTTTGTTGTTCAAATGCTGTTTGGGAGCCTTTGGCTTAGTTTCTCTCAGGTAGGGAAGCTAACTTGAAGCCTTGAGGAATGATGGCTTCAGTGGTAATTGTGCTTTGGGGAATGGTTGTGGCCATTGCTTTTGCTTGAACTCACCAAATACCTTTTGTAACATATACCTTTGGTTTTATTTGTGCTGAAGAAAGATGACATCATGGATTTAAAGAGACATGGAAAATTTGAGAAGAAATACTCTCATTTAGAATTCATTCTGTGCCTCTTACATTGAATAGTGATGTTGTGTGTCAAATTGCTAACTTTGAGTTTATTCATGTGTATAATCTGGTTGGGTGTCTTTTCTGTTGTACATAGTCATTTTGTACCCTGAAACTGTTTGCTTTTGACCACCCCAATATAAGCTTATTATTCAATCTACATGGACCCACGGGTTTGTTTTGCCCTTTAAAAAGCTTTTAATTGTTAAAATGGTAGCTGTTTAGTTTAATATTGGCTAGTTCTTTAAGCATTTTTTCCTTTTCTATTTTTAAATCCAGGTGCTTTCCATAGAATTTGTAGATTTTTTTTAGTGTCTTTGCTAAAGAAGTAAACTTGCACTAACAGTAGAAAATTGGAAAGCCACTCTATGTATTAATTTGCTAATAGTCTTGAAATTAATGCAGTAAAACATCCTGGTGATTTGAGAGTGTGCTTTTTGGCATAATATGTTGCATTGTTGTGCTAAATCATCATTAGATATTGATGCAACTTCATGACATCCATGACATCATTCTCTCCCCATCACTTCTACTTTTGTAATTCCTTACCATTCTCAGTTACAAAAAGAACAGGATCAGGAAAAATAGCTTAGGATGCCTCAAATTCTAGAAGGGCCTTTAATGTCTCTTTATGTAGTTAAAACCTTCAGTAAGATTCAGAGCTGTGTGATTGGTAACTATTATGAAGTGCAAGCAAAGAAAATGCTAGCAAAGCCTGAGTTTTATGAAAATATTGAGGTCCCCAGGAGAGGCTGTCTCAAAGAAAAACAAATATGTGCTTATCTTTGTGATTTCAGAGCTGTCAACAATTCTTATAAGAAACTAGAGCCATTTAGTTATAAATAATGACATTCCCACTTCAGAAGATTGTTATGTGGGTCATAAGAGGTAATGTTTGTGAAGGTGCTTTGTAGATGTCAAATGAAAGGTAAATGTAAGATTATTTCTATTCTATGAAATCCTTATTTAAGGGTGCTGTCTGTACTAGGTATTTTGGGAGGGAGGTACTAATGATGCTAATTAAGAACAGGCAGCTTTTGGTATGAAGTTGCCTGAAGTCTGATTGGGAAACTGGACAAGGAAACCACTTAAGCTTATTGTAGTATATATAAGAAGTACATTGAGGGGCTGGGTTGTCGCTCAGTGGTACAGTGCTTGCCTAGCATGTGTAAGGCACTGGGTTTGATTCTCAGCACTGCATATAAATAAATAAAGGTCCATCCATAGCTTAAAAAATGAAATGCATTGAATCCAACAGGGGAGTCAAGGAAGGCTTCTTGAAGTTGGCAGCATTTCCCCCAGTCTATCTTATTGTTCTGCAAAAAAAAGTCTGCCTTTTGTGTGTGACTTGCTTTTTATAAAAACTTTTTAAAAATTCTGTCATCAGTTCTTTTCCTGTTTTATTCATTCATTGTCATGACACTTCCCACACAGTATGCCCTAGTTATGGTTTCTGCATTCTCAAAAATTCAGCAGTCTTGGGAGAACCTTTCTGAGTGAGTCAGAAGCACAGGCAGCAAACACAAACATTGCAGCTGCAATTAAAATATCCCAGATTACTAAGTGGTGATAACTTTATAGAGTGAGGCTTTTTTCGTTGTTTTTGTTTTGCCCGCTAGCACGAGAGGCATTGTATATTTTAATTTGATCATATTTAATTAATGTTGAGTTGTCATCCTTTAGAATGTCAGCTATGGTGGTTATTAGTACTGTTTCATTTTTCTGAATAATTAATAAAGTCCTGTTGGTTTTTGGGTGAAATTGGCAGCTTAAGCCAGAATTAACAATAAACTACTTTATAGAATCTGCTTATGTGAATTGAGATTGCTTAGTATCTCTGAAATTGAATTTCTGTATTTCTACAAAAGTTATGTATCTTAGTGCTGTAGTTGTTTTATAATTAATTTAGCATGTTGTTGTCTATATTGCTAGAATTTTATGTGTTTTTGAATAGAGTAGAATCTTTATGTGGCACTGTTATTTGAGTACATGCCATCTGTATCTTCACTGAAAAGGAGTGTTTTAAGGTTGTGGTTGACAGAAAAGTAGTGTGTTAATTTATCTGTATTGTGACAGTTACATGTAAGAGAGTATGACTTATATACAAGTCATTTTAAAATTGCCCTATGTTAAGCTCATAATGCAGTTTATTTTTAAAAATGTTTCCCGTGACATTCTTCTAAAAGTTTTGTAAGATTATGATTTAGTGGCATTCCTGTACCTTTAATTTTGCATTTCCTTATTCATGCATGTATTAGAAAGCAAATTTGCTTTGAATTCTGATTGTTCTTGTATTAAATTTATATATTGCAAAGTTTTCTGTTGAAATTTTTTCCAGTATTATTCTGTTTTGCTTCAAATGTGCAAATATATATATATATTTTGGTACCAGGAATAGAACTGAGCCACATCCCCAGCCCATTTTTAATTTTTAAAAAAATTTTTTTAGAGAATTTTAATATTTATTTTTTTTAGTTTTAGGCGGACACATCTTTGTTTGTATGTGGTGCTGAGGATCGAACCCGGGCCGCACGCATGGCAGGCGAGCGCGCTACCGCTTGAGCCACATCCCAAGCCCCAATTTTTTATTTTGAGATAGGACCTCGCTAAGTTTCTGAGACTGGCCTTGAATCTACAATCCTCTTGCCTTAGCCTCCCAAGTCACTGGGATTACAGGTGTATGCCACTACATTGAGCTTAGTATCTTGTCCTTTGATAGACACACACATACTTGTGTAATCATACATATGCAAATATATGTAAATTTATAAGCATATACAAATATACATAAACAATATAGAAATATTGTAAATATATAGGTATTACACAAAGCAGTAGTTACTTGTAACTACTATTTTTGTAAAACTATTTTCCTGTTCTGAATTGTAGATTAACTTAAACTAACTTCTTTTCTCTCTCTGTTGCTGGTGATTGAGCTCAGGATGTGACATGTGCTGAGCCCCCAGTTCTCATTCTACCGCTGAAGTACATCCTCTGCCCCTGACAGCAACTTATTTTCATTTTTAGTAATATGTAGATTTGAGGTAGTTCATTTACTTTCTATAAAGGCAAATCACTTTTAGTTTTAGCTGGTATTATTTCCTTAGACTATTTAGGATAATTTTATTTCATTTGTTTTAAGGAATTCATTAGTACAGAATGTTCTTCCAAATTTGTTTCTTTATTCTCTAAGACAAAATACTTAATTCTTTGCTTTTCATTCTAAAGTTTCTTAGTAAAGAATTGGTGCAATAGTCACCTCAGTGGTGGTAAATAAATTTCTTTGCTATTTTCTGTATTACTGTAGGCACATGGATTTTGATTTATTCATTATTTTACACTTACTTATAGCCATTAGTCTTTTTTCCCCCCAGTTTATAGCTGTAGATGGACAGCATGCCTTTATTTGTTTAGTTTTTTTATGTGGTGCTAAGGATTGAAACCAGTGCCTCACACATGCTAGGCAAGCGCTCTGCCACTGAACCACAACCCCAGCCTTGCCATTAGTCTTTTTGATGCAGAAATTTGGCCAATATAAGCCTATTTAAGATGATGTTGGCTAGATGTGGTGGTGCACACCTGCAATCCCAGTGGCTCGGGAGGCTGAGGCAGAAGGATTGCAAGTTCAAAGCCACCTTCAGCAGCCACGGGGCACTAAGCAACTCAGTGAGACCCTGTCTCTAAATAAATAAAATGCAGGGGCTGGGGATGTGGCTCAAGCGGTAGCGCGCTCGCCTGCCATGCGTGCGGCCCGGGTTCGATCCTCAGCATACAAACAAAGATGTTGTGTCCGCCGAAAACTAAAAAATAAATATTAAAATTCTCTCTCTCTCTCTCTCAAAATAAATAAATAAATAAATAAATAAATAAAATACAAAAAGGGCTGGGGATGTGACTCAGTGGTTGAATGCCCTTGAGTTCAATCCCCTGGTACAAAAAAAAAAAAAAAGATGGTGTTGTATCCTTTTGACATGGACATGCCTCTTCAGTTGAAGAACTTGGTTTTAATAGTGTTAACATTTGTTTGCTTTATCCTATTTATATATAGGATTTTAAGTATATTTTCTGTATTGGTATTAACAAAATTCCTGAGGTACATTTAAGATTTTTTGTAGTTCTCTTTATGCTTAGAATATTCTTTCCATCAGAATCCAGCCCTAAACTGGGAACCATGCTAGATATTTCAAACAGAAATGATTTAATACAGGGAATTAGTTATATGTGTGATGCCAGACTGGAAGGCAAAAAAAGAGTAGGTGGAGATAATTTAGAGACTAGTAACTGTAGGATGAAACAGTTAATACCTCAAGGGATGGGGGAACAAAAGGGAAGAGAGAGTATTACTAGAACTTCTAAGGATATAGAGGAGAGGTTACCACCTCAGACACTACTGCA